GGATTTCACCGTCACTGGATGTGTATTTTTATCGAAAATGTTTGAAAATAACAGTGTTTTGCATGTGCAACGTGATTGGTCATGTGTATATATAGGGGGAATTTGGAATAAATCTAAATACCATGGAGTTGGAATATGGAGAAAATGGTGCACAACCTGTCTATAGGTGGCGCCATTGTTTGTTGCTTCACAAATTTTCATTCTGATAATACATCTCCAGAAATGCAAGGCATTTGTTTTCTGACAATGAACTGACCATAGTTTAACTACCTAGCCTGAAAATTCTACAAGAACAGGAAAACTATGTAGTGTCTTTATTATACGCCCACGACACCTAGGACAGACAAACTGAATCGTCTTTCTAACTAACCTGAGCTCTGAATCTGCATTTGAAGACTGAAATATCTATTTCCATAGCACAAACAAGATTTATATTTTATAATGTCAATCAATTGTTCATCAATTTCCACGCGTACGTTGTAGCAGTACCTGTTGATCATACTGCCCTCAACGGTATATGCTATTATACATCGGGTAAGTGGCTCTCATGAGGCAAATTTATAGTAGCACAGCGGTAATACGCTGGAACCGTGTCTACGTGGAGCCTCACCCACAATCAAATCATCAACGTAATATACAAAATAATCTCGGGCACAGGGCAAGACTGTAAGATATGACATCATAAATCGGGACAGATTTTTAAACATACTGAAATTTAAACAGTGGCCAAAAAATAGATAGTGGAAAAAATACATGTACACAGCCTCGTTATAACGAACTCTTTGGACGGGGGACATACATTTAGTTTGTCATAGTGAAATGTTCACTATAATGAAGCACATAATACATTGGGGTTGTTGTGAGCGGGACATATGCTATGTGTTCATTATATCAGGAAATTCAGTATTAAGGTGTTCATTATATTGAGGTTACAGTGCATTTGTTTAGTGATAATTACTATTAAAGATGTGTGGTATTATTGGAAAGGTTTTGGTATGAATTTTTTTTTCGAGTGTGAAAAAGCTACGAGACTCGTTTTTTTTTTCTCATCAAATAGTGTTCCGTTCTCTCCTGTCATCGAATCTACTATTCTATAGGTCTGTGTGATATCGACATTTGGGACAGTGAACGCAATAACGGGGGTGTGAAACGCTATTTGAGGGACACAAACAAACCTCGTGGCTCTCTCGCGCTCAACGAGAACTCGGCGGCCATTTGCGTTTATTGAAATGTTCAATAATTCCTGTTGCAGAGAAAATGGTGATACTTTGGGCGGCAATCACGGTGATAGTGGCGTACATCGTGAAAACATTGTTATCAAGAGACAGAAAGAAACTCGATGGAATTTACTCTCAACGTGGGCGATGGTATGGCATAAAACGTGTGCTTGTATTCATTAGCCTCTGGTGGAACCGAAGAACCTCTCCATTCAAGGTAAAGGACGCCAAGTGTGCAGTCAGACCAAGCAAACACGTCGGACAATTTGAAAGTGTTCAAAATTTAGACAGCCATCCGGAGGTGAGTTGGTTCGAGTGTACGAGTTGTAGAATAAATCAGAATAGTATATATATAACGTATGACTTCTACAACAATCACTAATTTACAAAAAGCCCTGTGGATGACTTTGCGTGTTTTTGAGTATATTTTAATAATTTTGTTTTTATTTATAAAAAAACAAACATAGGGTCATTAATTTTCATGTAATAAAACCTTGTTTTAGCTGCAATATTCGTTCAAATTAAAATCTCTGACGCATATGTGCCAGGATTTATCTTTCCCAAGAGATTACTAAAAACTGGCGTTTTCGTTACTTCATCGAATGAATACTGCTACACCTGCAGCCAAAATATTACTTTTGTATTGTAGTGTACGATATAAATATGTATAAATTATGACGTACTGTTTTTTTTAAGCAAGACATAGTACCTAACATTCAAAAAAGCTAAAAAAAAAATACTGAGTTGTTTTGGGGTTGTAATGTATGTACAATAATGTTTTACAATAAACCTGTCCACCAAGAAGGCATGACAAGGCTGACAAGCGTGCAGGTGACGTACAAGCGTGCAGGTGACGTACAAGCGTGCAGGTGACGTACAAGCGTGCAGGTGACGTAAAAGTGACGTACAAGCGTGCAAGTGACGTACAAGCGTGCAAGTGACGTACAAGCGTGCGAGTGACGTACAAGCGTGCGAGTGACGTACAAGCGTGCAAGTGACGCACATCATGAGAATATATATTTGACATTTGCAGGCAATCGACGCCGTGCATTTCACTGGTGCTAATAAAGACGGGGCTGGGCTGATAGTTCGGATTGGAAATCGAAACGACCATATGACTGAAGTATGGTTTCTATTGAGTGTACCAGGTATAGGTGTATTACAGTTACCCGAACACCCAGACACTGTTGTGTACCGCCAGTCGGAAACTCCGAACATATTCACTGCTGCTGGTATTGAAGTAGAATCCTTGCAGCCTCTGAGAGTGTGGACGATTTCATTTAATGGTTTATGCAGGTATGGATTAGTAGGATTCCACGTGACAATTTCACAATTTTATTGACACACAAATTTGCATTTGAACTGTTTAATATGAACCCAGATTCGGACTAAAGAAGACAGTATATTAATGTGAATATTAATAGATAAATACAGCAACAAAGC